CCACATAGAGCTCCCCTATGACCCAGCAATCCCACTTTTGGACATTTACCCAAATGTTTACAAACAAGACCACACTAAAGCTACCAGCACAACTATGTTTATTGCAGCATTATTTACCATAGCTAAGATATGGAACCAACCCAGATGCCCCTCAGTAGATGAATGGATCAAGAAAATGTGGTATATATACACAATGGAATTCTATGCCTCCATCAGAAAGAATGACATTTCCCCATTTGTTAGGAAATGGAAAGGCTTGGAAAAAATTATATTAAGTGAAGTAAGCCAAGCCCAAAGAAACATAGGTCCCATGGTTTCCCTTATTTGCAATATCTAGTATATGTATGAGTCAAGCAGAAAAGGTTAGATAATGTGATGATAGGAAAATAAACCCTTAGATATGTATTTAAATGTTTTTTTCTTTCATGCATTTGTTTCTAACGCATTTATAAAATTATTTCTTTGTTGCTTTGTATGTCCCTCCCCCACAGTATAACCCCTGCTTTCACTATATTTGATGTCAGTATAATTTGTGGAGGAGAAGGGGAAAAACAAGTTGTTTAAATAAGGATACAGGTGGACCTGTTGCAACAATGAGAAGTACAAGTTGTAAAGTTCGTTTTCGACATGACAACTTGTGGGGCGGGGGGGGGGGGGGGGGGAGGCTGGGAAAGGATGTGAAGGGTAAACAAAGGAGGAGGCTGCAATGCTTGATAAGAGATGTATTCATTATCTTGCCCATGTAATTGTAACCCCTCTGTACAGTATGTTCACAATAAAAAAAAAAATTCACAAATTCTGACTGCTACCAAGTTTGTAAAGTACAAAAAGGCACCCAAATATAAAGGACCAAAATCAGTGTTTTTAGCTACCACATAAAAGTTCTGGCAGTAGAGAAGATAAACAAGAAAACCAATGGAAAAACTCACAAGAAACCTCAAAGTGGTCAATAAATCTTGGTTTTGTTTTTGTTTTGTGTTTTTTGTCGGTCGTGGGCCTTGAACTCTGGGCCTGGGTGCTGTCCCTCAGCTCTTCAGCTCAAGGCTAGTGCTCTACCAATTGAGCTACAGTGCCACTTCTGGTTTTCTGATGGTTTATTGGAGATAGGAGTCTCATGGTCTTTCCTGCTCAGGCTGGCTTTGAACTGCGATTTTCAGATCTCAGCCTCCTGAGTAGCTAGGATTATAGGCGTGAGCCATCCATGCCCAGCTAAAGGAAAGTTCTTTCTTTTTTTTTGTGGGACTTGACCTCTGGGCCTGGGCACTGTCCCTCAGCTCTTCAGCTCAAGGCTAGTGCTTTACCACTTGAGACACAGTGCTATTTCCAGCTTTTTCTGCTTATGTGGTGCTGAAGAATCAAACCTAGGGCCTCATGCATGGGAGGCAAGTACTCTACCATTGAGCCACCTTTCCAGCCCAATAAATCTATTTAAAAATACTAACTACATGATAAAAAAAAAATCTTGGTTTAAATTTATCATTGTCATTATCTTCAACTATCTGTTTCCATTCCTAATCATAGCTGTCAATGTTTAGCTTAAAAGAAGTTAAGGAGGGCTGGGAAGGTGGCTCAGTGATAGAACACTTTCCTTGCATGCCTGAGGCCCTGGGTTCGATTACTCAGCACCACATAAGCAAAAAAGAAAGAAGCCAGAAGTGGCGCTGTGGCTCAAGTGGTAGAGCGCTAGCCTTGAGCTGAAGAGCTAAGGGACAGCGCTCAGGCCCAGAGTTCAGGCCCCACAACCGGACCCCCCCCCCCAAAAAAAAAGTTAAGGATCAAGCTGGGCACCAGTGGCTCATGCCTCTAATCCTAGCTACTCCAGAGGCTGAGATCTGAGGATCAAGGTTCAAAGCCAGCCCAGGCAAGAAAGTCTGTGAGACTCTTATCTCTAATTAATCACCAGAAAACCAGAAGTCATGCTGTGCCTCAAGTGGTAGAGTACTTGCCTTGAGCTGAGGGACAGGGCCCAGGTCCAGAGTCCAAGCCCCATGACCAACAAAAAAAAGAAGTTAAGAATCAGCCAGGCACTAGTGGCTCAGGCATGTAACTCTAGCTACTCAGAAGGTTGAGATCTAAGGATGGAGAGTCTAAGACAGCCTGGGCTGGAAAGTCTGTGAGACTCTTATCTCCAATTAACCAGCAAAATGCCAAATGTGGAACTGTGGCTCAAGTGATAAAGAGCTAATCTTGAACAAAAAATTTTTGGAACAGTGCAAAGACAGTGAATTAAAGCCCTGATTAAAACAAAACAAAAAACAAGTACCAGTGGTTCATGCCTATAATCCTAGCCACACAGGAGGCTGAGATCTAAGGATCACAGTTTAAAGCTAGTCCTGACAGGAAACTCCATGAGACTGTTATCTCCAGTTAACCACCAGAAAACCGGAAGTGGCACTGTGACTCAAAGTGGTAGAGCATTAGCCTTGAGCACAAAAAGGCTCAGGGACAGTGCCTAGGCCCTGAGTTTCAAGTCCCATGACCAACAAAAAGAAAGAAAAGAAAAGGGAAAAAATATAATATCTTGCCTTTTGGTTCCAAATGCTTGCTCTTTTTTCCTGTCATTGGCTTTACAGGAAGAGTGCTAAGAGATAGGCCGTCTCAGGACCAGTATTTTGCCTATTGGAATTCTCAGTTTATTCAGCAAGTGTATCTATGAATTCAGTACCCTCTAATTCAACCAACTGCATTGAAAATGTTTAGGGAAGAATTGCATCTGTATTGAACATATATAGAAGCTTTTCACTGCCATCATCCCCTAAACAATGCAGTGTAACAACTACTTGCATAGGATTTACTTTGTATTACTACTAAAGTAACCTGGAAATGATTTAGACTATATAGGAACATACTTTAGGTTCTATGCAAATACCATGAATATTTATGAATATTTATGTAAGGGATTTGAATATCTTCAAGTTTTGATATCTATGGATGGGATAGGCAGGTCCTTGATCTAGGCTCCCATAGACACTAAGAGATGATTATCTGTCTACCTGCCCCTCTTCAGCAAGTGGAATGTGTGAGTAGCTACCACTTGTGTACAGTCAAGCTCTGATTCACATATGTTTATAAGCATGGTTTGTGGTTAAAAAGCAAATGTGTATAGGTTTTTCTCAGGTTTTTATCTGGTGCCATTTGAACTCAGGGCTTCATAGTCACTTGACATATATACATATATATTTGTGAATACATATAATTGTGCATATATATGTGATTATGTATATATATATATATATATATATATATATATATACAGTCTTTGAACAAAGAGGTTTCAATTCAGCATGTCAGTTTGTAGTTCAATACATCTTGATCGATGTCACTCCTCCCATCATTCTCCCCCATTTCTCACAACTCCACCATCCCCTCAAGTTACCTAGTTTCATGGACCTTTTCTTTTTTTTTTTTTTTGTCGGTCGTGGGGCTTGAACTCTGGGCCTGGGCGCTGTCCCTCCGCTCTTCAGCTCAAAGCCAGCGCTCTCCACTTGAGCTACAGCGCCACTTCCGGTTTTCTGGTGGTTCATTGGAGATAGGAGTCTCACAGTCTCTCCTGCCCGGGCTGGCTTTGAACCGCGATCCTCAGATCTCAGCCTCCTGAGTAGCTAGGATTACAGGCGTGAGCCACCAGTGCCCGGCCATGGACCTTTTCTTTAAACTTCAATCCTCCATTTCTCAACCTCCTAAGTAGCTAGGATTATAGACATCAGCCAGAGATGCCCAGCTATGTTTCATGTTTAAATTTTTTCTTTGCAGATTTACGTATCTATACAGACAATTCCAACCGTGGAGCTTTTACTCTTTTTTTTTTTTTTGGGTCCAGTCGTGGCGCCTGAACTCTGGGCCTGGGCGCTGTCCCTCAGCTCTTCAGCTCAAGGCTAGCACTCTACCACTTGAGCCACAGCGCCAATTCCAGCTTTTTTTTTTTTTTTTTTTGCTTATGTGGTACTGAGGAATTGAACCCAGAGCCTCTGGTATACAAGGCAAGCGCTCTACCACTGAGCTACCTTCCCAGCCCCGCTTTTACTCTTTTTGTTTTCTTTGCTCTTATGACCTCTTCCCACCTGCTTGCATGGGCTACATCCTCTTTTCCTTCATTCATTCATATTACCCCACTGTTTATGTACAAGGATACATAAAATGTAACATTTATTCTTCCATATTTTTTCATGGCTAGCATGTACTCATTTATTAAATAGTCTGTACAGATACATTCACAAATACATATGTCAGGTACCTTTTTAAGTTTTGTTTATGGGGGAAGATAGGGTCAGATTATATATGCTTTTATACTTTGGATTATGTATACCTTGCAAGCAAGTATACCATTCTGGAGATATACTATTCCTGAGAATTTTTCCCACAGAAATAAAAGTATTGATTTGAAAGACCATCTAGAGCATTTTGTGCAGTATCATTCATAGTAACAGGCAGAAGGCGGGTCACTGAATACATCATGATATATCTACACTATGGGATTTTAGGAAGTCACTAAAAAAAATTGATTTGTGCCATAAGTGTCTCCTCTGCTGTTTCTTCTGTTATGGGTTTTACTGTATTTTTTTTCATTTACTGACATTCTAGTGAAATTTAAAGACAGGGAAGAAATAAATGTCTGCGAGCAAGCCTCTTAATAATTGAAAATCTGGCTAGGTGAATTTCAAGACCTGACTTCATTTTCTTTCCTCCTAGAGCTCTGAGGTTTTCTTTGACTATTTCCCCTTCCCCTTTTCTTTCCTTTCTGTATTTTGGGGACAGGAAATTCCCAGTCTCCAGAAAGTTACTTTTTTTTCTTCCCTGATTTCTAACCTCAACTGGTCTTTTTTGCAAATGCCATCTGAAGGGCACAGTCTGAAACATCATCTCTAAAAGTAAACTCAGGAAATGTCAGTTTAGGAATTGTTTCTTAGATATTTGAATTTTCTTGGTAATAAGACTCATAGAAAAAAGACAGTGTTTCTATAACCGAGGCTATGTTTTTGTTTTCTTTTGCCCCTGTACAGATTTGAAAAAGGACGTATCTATACATTCATTGGAGAAGTTGTTGTCTCTGTGAATCCTTACAAGTTGTTGAACATCTACGGGAGGGATACAATTGAGCAGTATAAAGGTCGTGAGCTGTATGAGAGACCTCCACATCTTTTTGCTATTGCTGATGCTGCTTACAAGGCTATGAAGAGGCGATCAAAAGATACCTGCATTATGATATCAGGTATTTGGAGGGGGTCCTTGATATGTCCAAGGTCAACATTTACTTATTTTTTTACTTAAGGATATACATGATTGATTATTTTTTAAAGTTAAAAACCTACCAATTTTTAGGGACAAAAAAATGAACATGAAACACCAAATTATTCTTAAAATTTCTGGATCATGCTCTAGTCTTGGTTCTGGAAGCAAAAGAAGGAAGATTGAATCCCAGAACCATCCTGGAGCTCTTAATGAGACTTCATCTCATTCAAAACTATACTTGGATGCCTTCTGGTCAATCTGTAAACTAAATATGTTCCTATCTATTTCAAACACTACAATTACCAGGTAAAACAACAGTCTTTCCACAATAACAGAATGAAACCAGGAAAATGAAACACTCAGATCCTGGATGTGAAGAATGAACTATGTTAGCTTAGTTCTTGGGGGTTGGTGCTGAAGCAAATGCAGAAGCATTGGAGCCAGAAATAGGCTTTTGAGCTCAGGGTCTGAAGTTTAAGGTCCAGTGATGAGCAGATGACTTACAGCCCTTTGTGTGTAAAACTGGAGCCAAGCTTCTCATGTAAAGCTAAGTTGTTAGAATTCTCAGTTGTGAAGAGGACAAGCAAAGTATCTTCCACTGGTCCAAGCTGGCCTCTCTTGAATGTGGAATTTCTTTTGGTACTAATAATACTTGAATTTGCAATATGGGTTTATGCTTTTAAAAAAAATGATTTTAAGAGCTAGGTGCTGGTGGCTTATGCCTGTAATCCTAGCTATACAGGAGGCTGAGATCTGAGGATCCTATCAAAACCAGCCCAGGCAGGAAAGTCTGCAAGACTCTTTTTCTTTTTCTTTTTCCTTTTTTTTCCAATCATGGGGCCTGAACTCTGGGCCTGGGCCCTGTCCTTCAGCTCTTCACTTCAAGGCTAGCGCTCTACCACTTGAGCCACAGCACCACTTCTGGTTTTTTTCTGCTTATGTGGTGCTAAAGAATTGAACCCAGGGCCTCATGCATGCAAGGCAAGCATTCTACCACTGAGCCATCTTCCCAGCCCCAAGAAGAAAGGCTTCCCTGACCCGAAATCAAACCCAGGCTGCAATGGTAAGACCGCCGAATCCTAACCACTAGACCACCAGGGAGCTGCAAGACTCTTATCTCCAGTAAACTATTCAGAAAAAGCCAGAAGTGGCACAGCTCAAGTGGTAGAGCCCCAGGACCAACCCAAAAAACATGCTTTTATGATCAGTTTATTTTGGTTATCAAAACAACTTTTGAGTGACTTGTAGAATAGTTATTTTTCTACTTTAAGAATATTAAAGGCCAGAAAGTTAACTAACTTACTGTTAAAGAACAATACCCCCAGAGTACATTGTATTAAAACAGATTACAAAACCACTATTGCCTGGTTGTAGAAGGTGAAAGATAAGTTATGCAAGTGTATAATCTAAAAGCAAAAAGTCCTTTCCTCTGCAATGTCTCCTCCTTACAACATTCCAGGAAGACAGCTGTTTAATATTTATCTTTTTACACATTTCGTCTATATATTCAAGTACATATCACAATATATGTATATCTAAGTATAAATATAAAATCACTGAATTATACCTGTTATTACATAGCTGTTTTTCCATTTAGCAGTATATAGGGGATATCTTTTCATTAGAGTTTCTATCAAACTAGTTTATTCTCCCTTTTTCTTCTTCTCTCCCTTTTTTTTTTCTTTTTGCAGCAGTAAGGTTTGAACTTTCTTGTTTGCTATGCAGGTTCTATACCAAGTCTGCTTATTATTTTACTTCTTTCACACTTTTCTTTTTCAATGTGTTCATATCAGAACCAACAGGACAAAAATTACAGGACAGAAATCAAGCAATGCAATACAAGGGATTTTTAATAACTTTCATCAGAATTTCAAATTAGTCTAATAGAAGTAAGTTTAAATTATAAGTTATGCACAATTCTTCTCTTCAGGGGAAAGTGGAGCTGGTAAAACAGAAGCCAGTAAGTACATTATGCAGTATATTGCGGCTATCACCAACCCCAGCCAGAGAGCAGAGGTTGAAAGGTAAGTGCATTGTCCATTAGGAGAGACTCTTGACTGGAGCTTCACTTTCTCTACTAGCTTGGCCTATACTGATTGGCACTGGGAAATTTTCCGTTATTAAACTGCCTTGATTCTCATAGTGTATATTTTCCCTATTTTTATTTTATTTTATTTATATCACTCTATCTCCAGATTTGTTTTTTAATAGAAAAAAATACTTTTTAAAAAATGCTCTGAAAATAGCCTCACTTTAGTTTATAAACACTGCCTTAAGTATGCTCAGGAGAACTGGCAGGCCTTATTGTTCAAGCTGTCAAGCAAGGATTCCATGATTTAAGACGGTGCTGTGAGAGAAGTGGTGCTCTAAATGGCACCACAGCAATGGCCTCCCATCCATATAACACCAGAGCTCCCTGGGGGTAAGTTCTGTGTTGGGAATTCCAGGTCATGTTCATTTCTAAAAGGATCTCATGCTGCACCATGCTGGGCTCCCAGATGAGTCTGTGCTGTGTTGGACCCCCATTTAAGGACAGTGCCTAGCACATGGTGTTTGCTTACTAAATATGTTAGTCATAAATGAACAGGATTTAAAATACATTGCTACAAAGCAACTTGACTTTCTTAAGTGGTACAGCTTTTTTTGAAGAAGAAAAATACTCTCCTAACTTTTTATAATGATTTATCTTTATCTGTGTTAAAGAGTGAAGAATATGTTGCTCAAATCCAACTGTGTGCTGGAAGCTTTTGGAAATGCCAAAACCAATCGTAATGATAACTCAAGCAGATTTGGAAAATACATGGATATCAACTTTGATTTTAAGGGCGACCCTATTGGTGGACATATCAATAACTACTTATTGGAGAAGGTAAGATGTGCTTAATTTCTGAGGGTAATGTTTAAAAGACTTGAGCCAGATATAGTTCTCACACCTGTAATCCTAGATATTTTGGAGGTAGAGATCAGGAGAATCAAAGTTTGAGACCAGACTAGACAAAAAAAATTGGTAAGACACCCATCTCAACCAATAGAAGCTGAGAGTAGTGGCATATTCCTGTCATCCCAGCTCCAAAGGAAGCATATATAAGCAGATTGTGGTCCTGACCAGCCTTGGCATAAACATGAGACTCTATCTAATAAAACCAAAACAAAAAGGCTGGGGATATGTTTCAAGTGGTAGAGCACTTGCTTAGCAATCACAGGGTTTTGAATTCAAGCCCTAAAACCACCAAAAGAAATTTAAAATAATTGGTTATATTTATTGAATTTCATTTATTGCTTTGAAATGGTGTTTAATCCCATTCTTTCTACTGAAATTTGCTTCCTGTGGTAAGATATTCTCTCCTGTTTCTTCCTCCCTCTATCCTTTCTTATAAGCACTGGTTGGAAGATATTTTGAACTCTGTAGATGCAGATTGAGGATTGGGGGCAAGGGTATGTGAGCCAACTTCAACTAATAAACAATCTAGAACTCTTCAGACCTTATATATATTACCATATTCCATTTTAACTTTAACTTTCTTTTTTTCTAATTTCTATTTGTTCACTTTTTTATAATATTGTATATGTATTTTGTGAGCTAGTATCCTAATTATAAAGCATTCTGTAGTTGGTCAATGAAGAGAGAGAGAGAGAGAGACAGAGTCTGTCTGTCTGTCTGACTGAGTTTGTGTTTGCTACTGGGCTTGAACCCAAGGTCTCATGCTTTTTTACCCATGGCTGGCATTCTATCACTTGAGACATACTTCCACTTTCAGCTTTTTGCTGTTTAATTGAGTCTCAGATTTCTCTGCCTAGGCTGGTTCCAAATCTTGATTCTTAAATCTCAGCCTCCTACATAGAAAGGATTACAGATGTGAGCCTTTCGCACCTCACTAGTAAATACATCTTTATCTGCATAGGTTAATGCTAGGCCACATTTCTAGACGATTCCAATGAAATGATTCCTACTAGGACAATTTGAGAGGCTGTGCCTAACCTTGATTAACACTAGGCCTGATTGCAGAAAGCATATGACATTACTTCCCCCAAGTTTCATGGTTCAGCTATGGTTCACAAAGCCATCTCCAGCTGAACTATGCTCTCATCTTAGCTCACATGCCTTCCCAGTAAAAGGTTTCCTATTCCAGTTATTCCATAGTGAATTTTTATGGTAGTATAATCTCTATTTTTGCTATATTGAGGTCAGACGATTAAGGAAATAAGTGTTTTATCTGAATCAGTTAAAAAATTACAGGAAATGCCAAGTATTACCAGCTTCTTTTTCATGGCTTCACTGTATGTACATATTTAATCAAAAGGATTCCTTTGAATGAAACATATTTGGAGCCTTTTCCTAATACCAATCTTTTTGGAACCATCTAAGGCAGCAATCTCTAGGGACTGATCTTGCTAAGCTGATTTTATTACAGGATATAAGGCATTACTCTTTGAAATGCCAGCTGATCCTGGAGAAGGGAATGTTGAGAATGTTCCTCCCTAGCATTCCTTTCTATTCTCTCCACACAAATCCCTGTCCCTTACCAAGCACGATCTTTAGGCTCCAAGTTAAATAGCATATTATATATTCATATTTAGTCTTCAGAAAGCTTAGGGACCTCTGCATTAGGCACTAAAAAGAATTACTAGGGAAACCTAGTCTTGGGCATATTTTTATCTACAAGGGTCTTTAGGATGCTTAAATCCACCATATACACCAAGTTTGATTTTATGGCTGCATTTTCAGGTTAACCATTTCAATGTGTTTTTTTCTTAGTCTCGAGTGATTGTTCAACAGCCTGGAGAAAGAAGCTTTCATTCTTTCTATCAGGTTAGTAGTCCTGTGTTACACATGAGAACTGATCATTTATTCATCTGTGTAGAAAATGAATATCTCTATATTGCTCTTGCCTATCTTATGCCTCTTTTGTGTCCATTGTCCTCACAATTTATTACTTGCATACATACACACCATACGCATATATATACACACACAATTCTACCCCACCTCCTTCTGAAAAGATGGGATTAACAGCTCTGATGAGAGCTGGCAGGTGGGAGAGCCAAGCAAACACCCACATACCTTTGCAACATGTATAATGGTTTAGTGATCAGGAAAGCTTTTGATATGGTACATTCTAAATGTGTTAAATTAATTTTCTTTTCTTTTGAATTGAAGCTATTGTTCCTATATTTGGGAGTTTCAAGAATGAGCTTATAAATTCAGTTTACTTTGTTCTTAGATACTATACAATAACAGAGTTACTTGAAAAGAAAACCAAGATTTATGAATTCAAGGAAGAATAGTCTTCTATATCACATCAGAGCTTAAGGGGGGAAAATGAATACATCTTGGGAATGCTATTAAGATTCTTAAAATAAAGTCCTTTGCTTTAGTGCTAGGCATAATCCCAGTATTTAGGAGGCTAGTTGGAGGCCAGCCTGGGCTACATAGCAAGTTCCAGGCCAGCCTTGGCTATGTAGTGATATCCTGTCTAAAAAAATAATGATCTTTTAAATGTCATAAAAATCTTTAAAGTATCCCTCCTTTTGGAAAGTCTGCCCTCAGAGAACAAGTATGATACATTATTATAATTTTAAAACCCAAAGTAATATAAACTAAGGGTAATAAATAAATTGGGTAGTCAAATTGAATGATATTATATTGGATTTTTAAGAAGTAAAACTATAAATTGAAGACCATTTCCATGTATAAACTATCTCTGAAGGTGAATAACAGTGACAATACAATTGAAAACAGTGACAAGTTGCACACTGGTGGCTCATGCTTATAATCCTAGTCACTTAGGAAGGCCAGATCTTGAGATCAAAGTTCAAAGCCAGCCCAACCAGAAAAATTCAACTTAGTCTCCAAATTAGCCAACAAAAAATTAGGTTGGAGGTGTGGTTCAAGTGGTAGCATGACAGCTAAATGAGTAAGCCAGGCAAGCACAAGGCCAAGTTTAAACCCTAGTACCAACAACAACAAAAAAAAAAAAAAAAAGGAAGGTAGATAGGTTGATTGAGTTTGGGTCAACTATTTTTCTATCAAATGTAAGAAAGTTGTTTATTTTGAGAATTCAAAGCTTTTGCCAGGATTTTTCTACTTGGATGAAGATATCGTTATGTATTTTCAGCCAACACTGGAGTTGTAACATTCTCAGTTGCCTGAAGAATACACTTGATGGGGAAAGCTATTTCAGCACATGTGACTCGACCTATCACTGTCTACTGGTTCCTTTTACTTCCCTGGAAATTCTGACTTTTTCTAAATTCTAAGCAGAGCTATACCCTGTCTATAATGACACTGTTATGAGCAAGTGACTACCTCAGGGCAAAGGATCCTATCTTACAGCTGCCATATTCAAAGCAAGAACTATTCTAGTTCTATATACATTGACACATTTTAAGTAATTTTCCTCAGGACAGTTTACATGTGGCATAACATAATATTGTCATTTATCTTCAGATTAAAAACAACAATGAAAAAAATCAAAAAATCAAAACAATACATGATTCTTTAAAACATGAAATGGGACAAACTAAGTGAATAAAACCCAGAAAATGAATAAAAGTTAGGTTATTACTGACTTCTAATACTTGATTTTTTTGGTTTTGTATGTATTTTGCCCATTTATTTTTAATTAAATATTTTTCAGCTGCTCCAGGGGGCTTCAGAGCAGACCCTGCGTTCTCTACACCTCCAGAAATCCCTTTCATCCTACAACTATATTCATGCTGGAGCTCAACTAAAGGTGAAGATTTGTATCTTGGAGTTTGCTTAGGCATAGAAGCAGAGATTCAGAAGGGACATTAACTATCTGGCCAAGTCTGCTGCCCTTAGAGGGGAAAAAAATCACTACTTTTAAAATTCTCAGGAACAGAGAATTCAGAACATTAGTGAATTGACCACTTTACTTGCTAATCAATTACTATATTTTGTTACCATCTAAAAAGTTATGTTCCTATGTTTATTGTTTTCTTTGACTTTTTCCTTTAATTCCATTTATTTTAACACTATAAAAATATTAGCAGGACTAGGAAATCTGCCTCCTAAGATTTTATATGATTGTTGCCAAAGGCAAGTTGGTAAGACAATGCAAAATTAAAAAGCATTTTGATTCTCCATTCACTATTTTTTCCCCAGTATTGATGTGGATGTATCTATCCTGAAAATAGTTGTGTCATCCTTGGAACATATCTATGTATTTAGCTTTCCAAATTATCCATTTCCCTTGAATACTTGTATTTACATATGCAGGCACATTTTTGCCCTTTTGTTTCCAATTAATTTTTTGCTAATCATTTTACAACTAATTCTAATAATGAAGCAGTTTGTTGGTGGTAGGTAATAAAGTAATAATTATATTACTTTGATCCTATGTTGGGGGGAGAGAAAGCATATAAATTCATAGAACAAGAGATAAAGGATGTAGAGGACATTTTAAATTGTTTATTCAGGAGAGTGAGACTGTGAATATTTGTATTTGGCTTTTCTATATTTCTTAACTTTTTTATGATAAAAATGCATTGCTAGCTAAGCACTAGTGTCTCACTCCTGTAATCCTAGCTACTAAGGGTTGAGATCTGAAGATCAAGGTTTGAAGCCAACACGGCAGGGCAGGACAATTTGTGAGACTGTTATCTCCAATAAAATACTCAGAAAACAAACAAACGGAAATGGCACTGTGGCTCCAGTGACAGTGCTCAAGGGCAGAGCCCAAGTCCGGAGTTCAAGCCCTACGACTGGCAAAGAAAAAAGTAAAAACAGTGTTGCTGTTTTTGGTTGAAAAATGAAAGAAACATGGAATCTAGCATCTAAGATGTAGGAGAGATTTCTTAATTTTTAAAAAATTGTTCATTTAGCCAATTACACTTTAATTACTGGCTTCACAATATTTTTATTGCTAGGCATAAAAATCAGTGATGTGGGTTTTGTAAGTGATTTTTTTTATTTGGCATTTGAGATATACTAGCCTTTTACAGTAATTTAAGTGCAGAAATATTTGGCTGAAAATAAATTGAAAACAAAACAATAGAGGGCAACATTCCAACTTCCTGAGAATTTCCAGGGATACTTAAAGATGTAGAGACTGGGGAAACAACACTTAGAAGCCATTGCCTGAGAATGTCCTTTTTCAGTGAGCTTGTTTTGTTGCCAAATTACTTTTGGACAGGTCATATAGAATCCTCACATAAAATAAATATAAACATTTAGCCTTTTTTCTAACAAATTCAGCCAAGGTTCCCTTTTTGTTGAAGTTTTCCATTCTGATTCATCCTTTTTTTTTTTTTTTTTTTTTGGTACATTTTTTGTGTGTGTGTGTGTGAAAATACTGTACAGAGGGGTTACAATTACATGGGCAAGATAGTGAGTACATTTCTTATCAAGCATTGTAGCCTCCTCCTTTGTTTACCCTTCCCATCCCTTCCCAGCCTCCCCCCCTCGCCCCCCCACCTAATCCCCCCCCCCCACCAAAGTTGTAAAGTTCGTTTTTGACATGACAACTTGTACTTCTCATTGTTACAACAGGTCCATCTGTATCCTTATTTAAACGACTTGTTTTTCCCCTTCCCCTCCACAAATTATACCGACATCAAATACAGTGAAAGCAGGGGTTATACTGTGGGGGAGGGACATACAAAGCAACAAAGAAATAATCTTATAATTGCGTTAGAAACAAATGCATGAAAGAAAAAAAAACATTTAAATACATATCTTAGGGTTCATTTTCCTAACATCACCTTATCTGACCTTTTCTGCTTGACTCATACATATACTAGATATTGCAAATAAGGGAAACCATGGGACCTATGTTTCTTTGGGCTTGGCTTACTTCACTTAATATAATTTTAGGTGGGGGAGAGGGGAGGAGGCTGGGAAGGGATGGGAAGGGTAAACAAAGGAGAAGGCTACAATGCTTGATAAGAAATGTACTCACTATCTTGCCCATGTAATTGTAACCCCTCTGTACAGTATTTTCACAATAAAAAAAAATGTGGTATATATACACAATGGAATTTTTGGTACATTTTTTATTGTAAAAATACTGTGCAGAGGAGTTACAGTTACATGAGCAAGGTAATGAGTACATTTCCTATCAAGCATTGTTGCCTCCTCCTTTGTTTTTCCCCTACCATCCCTTCCCTCCCACCTCCACAATTACCCTCACTTCCCCCAAATATGTAAAGTTCATTTTCAACATAGTGTCTTGTACATCTCATTGTTACAATGAGTCAGCCTTTATCCTTATTTAAGCATTTTGTTTTTTCCCTTCCCCTCCCCGAATTTGAGAAGTGTATATACAAGATGCAGGGCACCGACATCAAATGCAGTGAAAACAGGGGTTAATAACCGTAGGAGAGGACTAGAACTCAAAAAATTAAATCCCTCAACAACAAATCCTCAAAGAAACAACTGCCCAATAAAAAAGTGGGCTAAAGACTTAAAGAGAAATTTCACTGAAGTGGAAATAAGAATGGCCAATAGACCCATGAAGAAATGCTCAACTTCTCTAGCCATTAAAGAAATGCAATTAAGAACATTGAGATTCCACCTAGTTAGAATGGCTATAATCAAGAAATCTAGTAACAGATGCTGGAGGGGATATGGCCAGAAAGGAACCCTACTGCATTGTTGGTGGGAGTGTAAACTGTTCAACTACTTTGGAAAGAAGTATGGCGGTTCCTCAAAAGACTCCACATAGAGCTCCCCTATGACCCAACAATCCCACTTTTAGGTATTTACCCAAACGATCACAAACAAGGCCATATTACCCAAACGATCACAAACAAGGCCATATTAAGGCTACCAGCACAACTATGTTTATTGCAGCATTATTTACCATAGCTAAGATATGGAACCAACCCAATGCCCCTCAGTAGATGAATGGATCAAGAAAATATGGTATGTATGTATACACACACACACACACACACACACACACACACTCACACTCACACTGGAATTCTTTGCCTCCATCAGAAAGAATGACATCGCCCGATTTGTTAGGAAATGGAAAGTCTTAGAAAAAATTATATTAAGTAAGCCAAGCCCAAAGAAACATAGGTCCCATGGTTTCCCTTATTTGCAATTACTAGTATATGTCTGGGACAAGTAGAAAAGGTCAAAAGCTATGTACATATGACCATATAAGATGATGTTAAGCGAAAGGAATCCCAAGATGGGGACACAAATATCTTTTTTCTTTCTTGCTATTGTTTCTAACATATTTATCTTTTTTAAAAAACTTTGTCTCTAACAGAAACAAAGAATCATAGTCAATCCTAAACTTAAGTTGAGCTAAAAGAAAATCTTACCATCCAGAAATAATAATAAGTTTGTGTACACACACACTTTTTTTGAGACAAGGATATACTTATAGCCAAAGCTGGCCTCAAACTTGTGCTACTCCTCTCTCTCCCTTCCAAGTAATGGGGTTATAGGCATGTAGTACCATACTTAGCAACTTATGTATACATTTGTAAATGAAATCATACAATAAATTCTGATAACATTTGCTTTTCTTGCATTGAAACACAATCATCTTCCCATGCAAGTATTTTAACTGTATTGTGTTATATAGTTTAATTAGTCTTAACGTATAGGAACCATCTACAATTTTTTCTCTCTCTCTCTCTTTTTTTTTTTGGTCTCAAACTTGGTATCTGATTATTTTGCTCTTTGGTTGGTGCTCTACAACCTGAGCCTTGTCTCTAATCCTGAAGGGCTAGTTAGTTTTTCCCCCATGTACAATTAAAATACTGAATGTTCATAATACCTTAAAGGATTTACTACAAAAGCATCAATACCTTGGAGTTTCATAATTGTTGCATTGTAATGTTCATGTGAAATGCATTTGACTCAAGTTTTTCATTTTTATTTCTAGTCTTCTATCAATGATGCTGCAGAGTTCAAAGTAGTAGCTGATGCCATGAAAGTAATTGGCTTCAAACCTGAAGAGATTCAAACTGTGTATAAAATTCTGGCTGCTATTCTTCACTTGGTGAGCATGAACACCACAAGGATAGATTGTCTCCCTGTGCAGACAGGGAGGTTTTACTTCTTTGTTGCAGATCTTAAAAGGAATTTTTTAGGAAAAATTTTGCTCATGTTTTAAAGAACTTAGTCTGTGGTTCTCTGCACCGTTTTATTTTATGATATCGTCAAACCTTGAACTGGTTAATTTCAAGGAGGGAACTCAGCAATGCTATTATTATTAATTGCATACATTTCTGATGGCATTTCATGTCGAATCGTAGATGATTAGAACTGGATTTAGACTCAGACTGAGAAAGAAGCCCCACAAGGTAGCATGGAGGCCTCAGAGGCGCTCAGCTCATCATGGAGCTAGCAATATAGACCTGCAGGGCAAAAAATTCATTGGTTTGATGGCATTTAAAATATAGAACCTTTATCAGAAATGTACATTGAAATGAGAAGGTTTTGCCTGAAGAAAAAGAAAAGACTAGTTGAAGTGCCAGGTTTTCATATATGTACATACAGGGAAGATAGGTGAAAGATAGGAAGGTATGTACATACACTAGGAAGATAGGTATAAAGTCATTTGAATTCTATCTTAATTGATAGATATAACTCTGACATAATATTTCAGAACCTCATTGGAAATGATGTGTGCTATTTTTTTTCCTATTTGATACAGGGAAATTTAAAATTTATGGTAGATGGTGACACGCCCCTTATTGAGAATGGCAAGGTTGTATCTATAATAGCAGAATTGCTATCTACTAAAACAGACATGGTTGAGAAAGCCCTTCTTTACCGGACTGTGGCTACAGGCCGTGACATCATCGACAAGCAGCACACGGAGCAAGAAGCCAGCTACGGCAGAGATGCCTTTGCTAAGGTGAGACTGAATTTGCATCTTGTGTGGCCCTTGTTTCTCTCAGCTGCATGAAGGAATTCTTGTGAGGATGTATTCAGTTGACAGCAAGCTAAGGCTGTCACCGTGGTGAGCTGGGTGTGGTAGTGCACTCAAAAACAAGCTAGCTGTGATGGCACTTCCCTATAATCACAGCTACTGGGAAGACAGAAGAATGAAGGTCTAAGACCAATTCCAGGCAAAAGTATGAGATCCTGTCTGAAAAAGATTTAAAGAGGATTGAGCATGGCTCAGGTGGTAGAGTACTTGCCTGGTAATAAAGGGCCTGAGTTCAGTCCTCAGTACCACCAAAAATAAAAAAAGAACTGGTGAGACTTTCTGGCCATCACAGTGATTCCCCATATGTGATCATCATTGCAAGAACAGCAAATGAGAACAACTGTGAGCATGAGAGAATTAAGGATATTACCTTAGCATGGTTTGCTCCAACCCAGCTCTCCTGTTTCACTTCATACTATTTTCAGCCACCTTTGTTCATTCTAATACATTTATCTTTCCTCGGGACTCACAAGTTCTTTATCCCTTTCTCTTTCTATCCACAGGGCTGCTGCATATGCCATTTCTATTGAATTGCTTGCTTCTCCTCTTCCCTTGCCTGCTTCTTACTCAGCCCAGTGACCTCAGCCCAAACATCACTTTCTAAAAGCTTTCCCTGGCCTCCTTGAACACTAAATAGTTTAAATTCCTTCAGATGTCACATGCCTATCCTATCCTATAGTTCATGGGCAGGGGGAGTGGAACAGAGAGAGAGATTATGTGTGTGATTTTTCCCTTCACCGTACTACCTAGGTTTTTTGGAGACTGAAACTATTCACTAATGCTGTATCTTCAATAAACTATACCTAGTAAGGTAGGAAAAGTTCTGGGGAGGTGAGAAGATTAAGATCCTACCAGGACGTGAATTGAGATGGGTGTAAGATATCATTGCCAGGTGATACATATCTTGTCAAGTCTATAGCTGAGAAACTCTCTTGGGAGTCCTGTTATATTAGTATTATCTAATACTGATTGCAAAACTTAGAGTGTTACAGAATGAAGGGGATTAGAAAAGACCTCACATTTTAGAGATCAGGTGTGAAAGCCTCTACCTGATGCTACCAAAGGTCAAACAGGAGAATTAAATGACATTACAAATCCCAGAGAGGACAACTGTTTTAGTAATAGAGTGGAAAATTAGTTAGAGTGATGTGGAGAAGCTTAGACATCCAGGTTCAAGTAAATGAGCCATGTTAATGGAGTAATAAGACAACAGTGTAATGTGTGGGTTGGGGTAGATGAAGACTGGAGACCCTTTGTTTAGGTAATGAGGAACATATGAGGGAGAGGCCAAGGGTGGATTTTTTAAAGATGAGAAACTGCAGAACATGATGTATCAGGATATGAGTGTATGCTGTGTGGTGTGCCTTTTGTCTCAGATGCTTATTTAAGTTTATAAATGAATATTTATTTTTTTTAGATTTCATAGTTTTAGTAGATCATATATATTAATTCATACCTTACCAACTTTGTTATAGTTGATAAAACAAAGTGACTTAAATATGGAATATCATATTATTGATACAGTGAGGTATAGAAACATACCAGGGGAATGTTGTTGGAATACATACAGTGATCAATCATCTTTCAAAATTCCAAACTTCAAGCCCCACGACTGACACTAATAGCAATAACAAAATTCCAAACTGCTTACTGTTCTTTGGCATACACACATTGTTTAAGTTGGGGGTGGGGGTGGAACTCGTGACTTCAGACTGTCTAGGCAGGTCCTCTATGACTTGAGCCACATCTCCACCCTCTTTTGCATTGGTTATTTTTGAGATAGGGTCTAATTTTGACAAGGCTTGTCTGGATTTCAGTCGTCCTACTTGTGCTTACCCATGTTTCTAGGGATGACAAGCATATGCCACAGCACTCAACCATCATGTTTCCTCTCATAGTTAAGATAACAGATGAGTGCCGCCACGACTAGACATCAGTTGAGATGAAATCTCATAAGTTTTTATGCCTGGAATGACCTCAGTCCCAGATCTCTACCTCCAAAGTTGCTAGGATAATAAACTTGAGCCACAGCATCCAGCACATTTTGTAGTTTTTTCAAACAGCAAATATATATTCCTAATTTCTCTGCATATCCAATGGAAAAATAGTAAGAAGAATGTAGACAGGAATCTAAGACATCACAAATCTAAACTGAGGACTCAGTCACAAATTGACAAGAACTTATGGTATAATTTTTTTCACAGGCAATATATGAGCGCCTTTTTTGTTGGATTGTCACTCGCATCAATGACATTATTGAGGTCAAGAACTATGATACCACAATCCATGGGAAAAACACCGTTATTGGTGTCTTGGATATCTATGGCTTTGAAATCTTTGACAACAACAGGTAAATGAGGAAAAAATACTTAAACCTCTTGATGCTTGTGTTGTATTTGTTTAAATCTAATCTATTCTTCTTAATGTAGCTTTGAACAGTTCTGCATCAATTACTGCAATGAGAAACTGCAGCAGCTATTCATTCAGCTGGTGTTAAAGCAAGAGCAAGAGGAATACCAGAGGGAAGGGATCCCTTGGAAGCATGTGAGTACACTTGTGAAAGATGTCTCTGAATGTTTCACTATTGTTGATAACATCAGGTCTTATCATTTAGGTGTTTCTTTATGGGTATGTGAAACATCTGAACCTTAGCTTTCCTTTTGGGACTTTGTAATTTAGTTCATTTTCGGTTTTGGTAAGATTTTTCTAATTTGACAGATTCTTTTATTGAAGCTCAGGAAGCTCCAGGATGAAATCAGTAAGCCTAATATTTTCACTGCATGGCTGACCCCATGGGCTTTCTGGTTCTTGTGTGTCTACTAAAGCTTAGAATCATGCAAAAGTTAGTAAGTTTTGCCTGAGATTAGTGAAAGTTAGCTTGCAAATCTACTCTCTCTCCTTCTCCCTTCCTTCTTTTGCTTCTCCACTCTGTAAACTAAATAGCATTTTACTGTCTTCAGTTGATGATATTCATATTCTTTTTCTTTCTTTCCTTCTTTCTTTCTTTTTTTCTTTCTTCTTCTTTTTTTTTGGTCAGTTGTGGGGCTTAAACTCAGGACCTGGGTGCTGTCCTGAGCCTCTTTGTGCTCAGAGACTAGTGATCTACCACTTTAGCCACAGCTCCAATCCCAGTTTTTGAGTGGCAATTGGAGATAAGAGGCTCATGGACTTAAGCTGGGTCCTGGTGACTCACGCCTGTAATCCTAGCTACTTAGGAGGCTGAGATCTGAGGATTGCAGTTCAAAGCCAGCCCGGGCAGGAAAGTCCATGAGATTCTTATCTCCAATAAACCACCAGAAAACTGGAAGTGACCCTATGGCTCAAGTGGTAGAGTACTTGCCTTGAGCTGAAGAGCTGAGGGACAGTGCCCAAGCCCAGAGTTCAAGCCCCACAACCAGAAAGGAAAAAAAAAAGAGTCTCATGGACTTTTCTGCCTAAGCTGGCTTCAAACAGCTATCCTCAGATCTCAACCTCTTCAGTAGAGTAGCTAGGATTACAGGTGTGAGCCACCAGCACCTGGTTAATGTTCATATTCTATAAAACCTGTACATTAGAACACCTGTATTGACTTTCATCTCCATTTTCTTTCCTTTGTTATGGCTCTTTCTGAACTTAAATAAGTGTCAGAGGCAAACTAATCAGGTGAGATACAGCCAGAGGGCAAGACTGAGCAGGAGGGCAAGACTGGTCCAAAGTACAAACCTCAGAAATGACTTGTTTAACTTGTTTAACTTCTTTATCTCCTTCCCTGAGACCTCCTGCTCATGAAAAGAAATGATTAATCTTGCCTATGAATTTGTATTTTAAAATGATTTTGAGAATGGACTAGACAGATACAAAAACTTGTGGTTTCCATACAATTCTGTTTACAAAACTGTGTTTACCCTCTTTGCCATACAATAAAAATAAAGCCAATATTTGTTGTTTGACATCCAACATAGTAGCAGTAAAAAAAAACTATTTGAATGTCATATTACTTTTCTATTCCTTCCTACTTTCCTTTTTTTTAAAAAAAAATTTTCTCTCCAAGTGGAGAGAAAATGAGAAAACAGTATACTCAGTAGCTCTCCTGCCTAAAATTGCATCTTTAACTTCCATCATGTATTAAACATTACAGTGCTATAAAATTGTTGCTGAAATATGTTAACATAAACTTCATTTACAAAGAAACCAAAAGTGTTGGCTATTTTATTAAAAAGCTATGTATAGTTTAACTTAAATAGTAAACTCTCAAAAGCACATTTACACTGTGATTTAATTCAGTTAAGTTTATATGAAACTTTCTAAGAATGAATCTTAGAATGTTTTAAAGCAAGTTTTATCACACAGCTTATTCAGATATGAGTCCAAAATACTGGTTAAAAAAAAATAGCCTGTAACAATCAGAATGCCAACTTCTATTGACACAGCTTATAAAGGGAAGAATAACAGTTATAGTAGGTTATTCCACATCTGAGAACAGTCCTAAAAATCTAGAAGTTCTGAGTTAAGAAATATGTTTCTAAGAGGGAACAGAAGGCTAACCCCAAATAACAGTAACTGTATGCCAGCCATCCCACCAAAACTAGAATCTTTGTTCTAGGTATTTCTCTTAAACCCCAAAACTTCTGGTCATATTGATTCCCTAAAAAATCTTATTATGGAAAATTTTGAAACATGCACAAAAGGAGAATATAATAAATACCATGACCCATCACCCTGCCTTAGTAATGCTCTGTGGATTACCTTTATTGCACCATCTGCTCCATACCTACATACCCCAGGTTAACTTGAAATAAATCTCAGACATCACATTTTTTCATCTGTGTATTTCTCTGGGAGAGAAATATTCTTATTAAAAATTATAACCACAGTACTTTTATAACATTTCAAAAATGAATAATAATTCCTTTAACATCAAGTAGCCAGTCAGTGTTCTAATTTTATACTTTCTCAGTTGACATAGTTGTTGATGACGGTTTCAAGTTGGACCTAAATAAGGTTTCGATGGTTGTCTAAATTGTGGTGGTTTTGTAAAGTTTTTGCATATGTGTGGGTTTTCTCTTTTGTAGAAGGATGAACATTTTTCTGTGGCATTTCCCACTTTGTAGTTTGTTAATCCTATTACTGAGGTGTCATTTAATATGTTTCTCTGTTCCTTGTAGGTCCTATACATTGGTTGTTAGTGTTTGAGTCTTAACAGTTCAGAAGAGTTTTTTCCCCAGTCTACTTTATGAAGCGTGTGCAATTCTACCATGAGATTTATAATGTCTGGTTGTTCTTCTGATTTATTCACTTCTGAAAGCTCTTGATGCTATAGTATTCATATTATTTTAGCTGTTGTGAACTTGACATTCAAATGAACTCTCATAAGTACCTTAAAGCATAATGCAAATTAATAAAGTTTATACGAACCTTATACGCAGTATAAGTACACAGTATATTTAGAGCTTAGGTTTTTATAACAAATTTAATCATAAAACTTGTTATCCAAATTCCATAGTCATACCCAATAAGATCATTGTACATAGCCATTACACTTAAAGTGGGAATGGGAGGCTAAAGCCCCATGACTCTAATCCACCTCATCACCCACACATCTCATGGCACCCTGTATCTCTTAAGAACCTCCTGGGAATGCAGGTTGCTGGAAGAACCTGTCTTGAAAACCACCATTTTTAGCAGTGCTTGAGTAGCACTAAACTAACAATTACTAGAATTTTCAGAAAAGATCAATAGCTCACAGTAATACAATTGGAATTTTAAGGTAATTTTTTGTTCCTAGGATAGATAATTCTAGATAATTCTTTCATTCTATAGTCCCAAAGTTTGAAATGTCTGCAATTCATGCTAGCAATGCTTTATTTAATCTTTTTAGAATATTTTTCCAAAGATAAAAATAACTTTTTCCTGTAACTATAAGCATGATAAATGCCCACAATAAAGACACATGTTCAGAGCAGGTTTCTCTGCCTCATTACCACTGAAATTGTGGAGCAGATCATTATTTTCGTAGGAGCTGTCCTACACATTGGAGAGCATTCGGTAGTATGCCACTGGGTACTTGTGGCATTCATCTTGTGACAATCAGAAATGTCTCCCAACATTGTCAAATGTCCCTAGTGAGCCAAACCATGCCCACAAAAATGCCCACTGGTTTGACTGGGTGCTGGTGGCTCATGCCTGTAACACTAGCTACTCAGGAGACTGAGATCTGAGGATCTCAGTAAAAGCCACCCACACAGGAAAGTCCATGAGACTTTTAATTCCAATTAACCACCAGAAAACTGGGAGTAGTGCTGTGGCTCAAAGTGACAGAGCACTAGCCTTGAGCTGAAGAGTTCAGGGACAGCACCCAGGCCCAGATTCAAGCCCCACAACCCCCCACCACACACACACAAAACAAAAACTACTGGAGCCAGTGGCTGATGCCTGTTATCCTAGCTACTCAGGAGGCTGAGATCTGAGGATTGCAGTTCAAAGCCAGCCTGGGCAGGAAAGTCCATGAAACTCTTATCTCCAATAAACAACCAGAAAACCGGAAGTGGTGCTTGGCTCAAGCGGTAGAGCACTCACCTTGAAGAGCTGAGGGACAGCGCCCAAGCCCAGAGTTCAAGCCCCATGACCGACAAAAAAAAGAAAAAACAAAACAAAAACCTACTGGTTTGGACAAACCAAAACATGTTTTAAAACATAAGGCAAAAGTTCTCCTCTCCCCAATTTATAGGCTTTCACTCGATGCAATATGTATAAAACTAGGAATGGAGCTAAAAGCCACAAATAACTGGCATAGTCCCTGGATTTAAAAGCATTGAGCAGGAATATATGAAGCACTTTAGTGTTCTATTAAGTCTGTAGACATTATGTTTAATGCTCAGCTAAGGCTTGTAAAATAGGGTACATCAACACACAAGATTAAGATATTTATTTGGTAATTAGCTACCCCTACTGTGACATACCTTGCCTGAGTAAAGCCTGGGTGTGCCCTCTATGTATGGTGATAATATGCTGCTTATTACAAGTTGAGAGCTTGTATATATTGTAGTTGTTAAAAAGCCAGAAGTTATTTACAACTTCATTCAATTTGTGGAAATAAGCAAAAAGATTATTCTTTTTTTTTTTTTTGGTCATGGGGCCTGAACTCTGGGCTTGAGTGCTGTCCCTTAGCTCTTCAGCTCAAGGCTAGGGCTCTACCACTTGAGCCACAGCGCTACTTCTGGTTTTCTGGTGGTTTTTTTGTTTTTGTTTTTTGGTTGGTCGTGGGGCTTGCACTCTGGGCTTGGGCTCTGTCCCTGCGCTCTTCAGCTCAAGGCGAGCATTCTACTGCTTGAGCCACAGTGTCACTTCCGGTTTTCTAGTGGTTTATTGGAGATAAGAGTCTCACCGACTTTCCTGTCTGGCTGGCTTTGAACTCTGATCCTGGGATCTCAGCCTCCTGAACAGCTAGGATTACAGGCATGAACCACCAAGTGCCTGGCTTTCTGGTGGTTTATTAGAGATAAGAATCTCATGGACTTTCCTGCTCCAGCTGCCTTAGACCACGATCCTCAGATCTCAGCCTCCTGCATAGCTAAGATTACAGACATGAGCCACTGGTGCCTGGCAGAAAGGTTATACTTAGATTTCAATATTAATTTTAAAATGCATTCTACCTAAAATTAAAAAAAAACAAAAAACCTCTGTTAGGGGCTGGGAAGGTGGCTCAGTGGTAGAGTGCTTGCCTTGCATGCATGAGGCCCTGGGTTCAATTTCTCAGTACCACATAAGCAGAAAAAGCTGGAAGTAGCATTGTGGGCCAAGTGGTAGAGTACTAGCCTTGAGCTGAAGAGCTGAGGGACAGAGCCCAGGCCCCATAACCAACAACAAAATCTGTTAGACTCTATATGCTTTGTATATTTGTATCAGTGATGAGTTTTGAATTTAAGTCTTTGTGTTTACTAGGCAGGTATCCTACCACTTGAAACATGCTTTAGCCCTTTTCACTTGGGATATTTTGAAATAGGGCCTCATTTTTTCCATGTCAACCTGGACCACAATTCTCTTATTTATGCTTCCTACCATAGCTGGGATGATTGATGCATAGTACTCAACTACTGTTTGACACGATCTCTTGAACTTTTTTTCCTCTGAGCTGACCTCCATCTACAGTCCTCCCATCCTTTACCTCACAAGTAGCTACAGGTGTGAACTTCCAGTACCTGGCTTCATATATGTTGGTTTTGTTGTTGCTTTTAACTTTTGGGAAACTGTACGAATTGTCTTTTGGAGGTTAGTCCTTGAGGGTCACATAATCAAAACTGCAAATTTGTGTCATGCCTTGACTTCATTATCAAATAATACATTAAATAATACTCTCAAGTTATTCATTCCTTCACGGAAGCTGGATCTGTGGTTAACAGCAAACAGATTGGGGGACTGGGAGTAGGAAAGAATGGAGCTGGGTGTCAGATAGGAGCCAGTATTAAAGGAAGAATTCAGAATGGGAGAAATGTGGTCTACCTTGTAATCTTTTTCTGAAGCTACAGTGATCTCTGACAAAGTGTTTCATGATGTAAAGTTAGTGAAGAAATTGAAAAACTCTGTTAGATTGTGTTCTTATTTAGTGTCATACCTCATTAGTTCTGCTCATATATTTGACATCATATATTTTTCCTAAGCTCCTGAAGCAAATGATGGCATGCTGGTATTTACCCACTCTGATCTCTGTTCCCTTGAGAATTGCCTCTTTTCTGTGTTCTACAGATTGATTACTTCAACAACCAGATCATTGTGGACCTCGTGGAGCAGCAACACAAAGGCATCATTGCCATCCTGGATGATGCTTGTATGAATGTCGGCAAAGTCACTGATGGAATGTTTCTAGAAGCCCTTAACAGTAAATTAGGCAAACATGGTCATTTTTCCAGCAGAAAGGTAATTGATAAGATCTTTGTTTCATTTTGATAAGGTTTGACTCATTGTTTGATGAGGTAAAGTTACTTTCTATTGGGTTAAAGGAATGTCCACTCAAATATGTCAAAAAGCTGTAAAGTTCCATTAAATAATCGCTTACTGTGGGATAATTTTGCCTTTCTGGTTTACAGAATGAAGTTTATTAAAATTATAGCATCCAGAAGAGGGCGCTCCAGACTATATAATTTGCTAGAAATAGGAAACATGGCCGTGGTTCTTTAAAAAGCATGATGTCATTTGTAACCAATAGGTGCAGATCCCTTGTTCATGTGCTAGAATTTACGCCTGTATCTGATAATTCTGGCACAGAAATAGCTTTTGTCCTTGTTGTTGTTACTGTAACCCTTATTTGCAGAATGTGTATGTGTATTCTACCATGGTGCTTCAGACTGACTTTCTTGAAATCAGACAAAGTCTCATCATTTTGGTTATTATAGGGAAACTCATTTCTTCAATGAATTAGGTATCTTTTTAACTCCTATTTTCAATAAGTTTTAATTTCTAAAAAAATGTTATAAATAAATCTCTGTAATAAGTGGTAGCAATTAGGGTGGTCAAACCTTTGTTCTGGATCTTGAATGTAGTGCATTTGCCCTTTAGTATTTGTAAGGGAAGCTGTATAGGGAACAGGCATCATTGCCCCAATTTTCCCCACAAATACGGGCTTGTCCAGCAGAGGGGAAAAAAACCTCTGTTCCTTCACATGCAGAAAGGAGGAAGCAATTCTGTTCTGTTTTCAATTCTGATTTATACAAAATTCTGTGGTTTTGTATAAATCTCTTGACACACTACCATTTTGTAGCATGAATAAATCTATTTTCTGAGTTATCTCCTTGGAAATTATGTAATCAGAACAGAAAATTTCCACAATTAGCTAGCTAAAGCACAGAACATCAACAAAGTGATTATTAGCTGATTCTTAAATCAAGATAGTTACTTATGGCTCCAAGTTGGTCTTCAGATACTACAAACTTAATTTTGATGTGAGGGTTCTGAGTTAAACTTTCAGTTGTTCCCACAGATTCTGATATGTGCTAATAAGATATATGATTGCACATTCTGGCAGTGTATAGAATTTGGGGTACCTTTCTCTTGATATTTATATACATAAATTTGTCAACCAATGTTTTAATCCATTCTTTCTTTGTTAGTTTTCTGTTTTGGATTTTTTGCTGTTGTTGTTTTATTTTACTTTTGTGTCATACTAAGGCTTGAACTCAGGGCTCCATGCTCTTGCCCCCAGCCTCCTGCCCCCCCCCCCCCCGCCCCGCCTCCCAGATCATGGGGCTTGAACTCGGGGCCTGGGCACTGTCCCTAAGCCTCTTTGTGCTCAAAGCTAGCGCTCTACCACAGCTCTACTTCTGGCTCTTTTGAGTAATTGATTGGAGATAAGAGTCTCACTGGGACTTTTCTGCCAGGGCTGGCTTTGAACCATGATCCTCAGATCTCAGCCTCCTGAGTAGCTAGCATTACAGGTGTGAACTACTGGCACCCGGCTTGCTTAGCTTTTTTACTCAAGGCTAGCACTATTATACCTCTTGGGCCATATTTCCATTTTCAGCTTTTTTCCTGGCTAATTGGAGATACAAGTCTCACAGATTTTTCTTTCATAGCTGGCTTCAAACCAGAAACCTCAGATCTCAGCTGATTTCATAGAACATGCTAAATCATAATTTATCGGTGATGTCTCTCCCCCCCCCACACACACACACACCTGCCTTCCTGATTTCCCGGCTCTCAGACCATATCTTTCTCTTAGCATCCCAAGGACAAATATCAAAATGGAGATTATTTTTTCTTGCTAGGAACTCATGCTTATTTGGCTTGCTTGCTCAGCTGGTACTCTACCACTTGAGCCATGCCTCCAGCCCAGCATTTTACTGGTTGATTGGAAATAGAGTCTCAAGGATATTTCTGCCCAAGCTGGCATCAAACCAAATTCCTCTAATCTCAGTCTCAGTATGTAGGTAGGATTACACGTGTGCACTTGCCAGTACCCAACATGAAGTGCAGAATTTTTTTTTTTTTTGGTCTGGTTGTGGGGCCAGAACTCTGGGCCTGAGCATTGTCCCTCAGCTCTTCAGCTCAAGGCTAGTGCCCTACCACTTGAGCCACAACGCCACTTCCGGCTTTTTTCTTTTTGCTTATGTGGTGCTGAGGAATTGAACCCAGGGCCTCAGGCATGCAAGGCAAGCGCTCTACCACTAAGCTTCTAATTGTCATTTCATTTGGGGCTAAGCTCTATATTATATTTTAAAGTTACCACAGAAAGACATGCAATAGAATATGAAGTATTTTGAAATAAAATGCTAATTAATATAATTTATTGCAAAAAAGGAAAAATGAAAAATGTTATGTGCTCAGAGTCAAGACCTTGTATTATATCCAAAGCTGAGACTATTCCCCTTATGTACAGACCATTTCAGTCCCTCTCTTTAGGACTTTTATAAATGAAAGGATCTTTTGAAGGGAGTTAGTAATAGAGAAAAAGAAGAACAATTATGTATTTAACATGTTTTGGTCTTATAGTTTAACTCATGAGCAAGCCTGTGAGATAATTAATTATTAGAGGAGACTGAGTAAGATAGCAATGTAGCCAAGATTTGAACTTCAGAAGTCTAAGTTCTTCCTATAGTTACTCACTTAATGGACTCATTATTCTTTTATCAATCAGGTTATCAGCGTAAAACTCAGCATTCTAATTGGGATTACTGTATAACATTAGAATCTAGTAGTTTTTGTTTGTAATTATGCTTAGTGTTGTATGGATTCTTAGGTGTTTCTGTTAGCCTGTAGGATACCCAGTGATCCTTCAGAGGAAGAAGTGTAGGTGTTACTGTAATGAGGAAGGTTGCAGAATGTCATGGAGACCTCCAGATCCATATAAAAACTGTCTTTCCATAAAATGTTTCCCTTTATTTGATCTCCTGCAAAGAGGCAGACTTGAGCTGGAATTCAGCAGGCAGATGAACCAATCTACTCTTTACATGGGAAAGCACAGATGTTATGTTTACTTTTGTGGGTCCTTCCCAAGACTTCTACAGACTAGCTGTGTGGTCTGTCCTAATTGTATAGCCTTTCTACATCTCAGTCTCTATGGGTGTAAAACAGAGATTATAGGGGCTGGGAAGGCGGCTCAGTGGTAGAATGTTTGCCTCACATGCATGAGGCTCTGGGTTTGATTCCTCAGCACCACATAAGCAGAAAAAGCCAGAAGTGGCGCTGTGGCTCAAGTGGTAGAGTGCTAGCCTTGAGCTGAAGAGTTGAGGGACAGCACCCAGGCCCAGAGTTCAGGCCCCACGACCAACAAAATAGAGAGAGAAAGATTGTAAAACAGTAAGTTGTGAGTGTTGTATGATGTATATGCTTAACAAACAGTAAGTCCTGAGTACAGACCTCCTCAAGCAGAACATGGAGAAGAAAGGAGTGTTGAGTAGAGGAGCTTGGTTGCATGAAATCAGTAGTCAAAATTTAAACGTCAGAAGATGACTGAAGACTGCTTCTGTCCCAGGGACCTAGACTTCTTCCATTGTCTGGCTGTTCCATCTCTAGGGACTGTCTTCTGCATCTGACTAGTAAGAAATGGGGATCTTCCACCATTATAGCATGGACCTGAAATGGCCACACTCCACTTTCTTTGTCCAGAATCTGGTCATATGGCCACGTCTTCTGCTAGAGTAGCTGGTTTATGGAGTTTGGGCCATGTGGATTGCTGGTGAAAGTTCAGTCTTTCTATGTAAGTCCTGTTTAAATTAAGCCCCAAATGATGTGATTTCACTCATGTTAATATGACTTTTGTGACCTAATCATATTAAATAAGAATATGCTTTCAGGAAAGTGAAAATGTCTGTTTTCAACATAATTTCCTTCTCTTAGCTCTGTGCCTCAGACAAAAGCCTGGAGTTTGATCGTGATTTTCGAATTCGGCATTATGCAGGGGATGTGGTGTGAGTATCTTACTTCAGTTCCCCAGCATGATGGTATGCATGCAGCCTCATGGGGAAACCATCCATTGTTTTCTTTACCATTTACTTTTCTTGTCATTACGGTCTAACTTTAGTGTGTTTTAATCTCTTTGTTTGAAGAAAATGGCATACCTTTATTCATTCCTTGATTTCCAAACATTTATTCAGTACATACTGTGTGCTCACATAATTGGTAATCAGTAAAAATCAGTTGATGGATCCATAAATCTTGGAGATGTGTTATGATGTAGGGCAGAAAGAGGGATAAGATGGGCCCTTCCCAGAAGCAACTGGTAGTTTTGTGGAGGATACAGACACACCCGACTCATTATAATGAAGAAAAGGAAGGGCTAAACTGAAGAATCACAGAGTGAGGAACCAGGAGAAGTCCAAGCTGAGTCCTAAAAGTCAAAGAGAGTTGTCTGAGTGAACGAACTAGGAAGAGGAGAGTGACACGAGAGGGTATCACAACAACAGAAAGAAAAAGGCCCAGCAGTGTAGAGCAGATCACACCTGTATATGCAGAGTCACAAGGATAGAACATAACTACAAGAACAAAAGCAGTTTTACTATCTTCTTTTTTCAAATTAATTTTGTAAAAGTAAATTATTTAAAAAGTAAAATGATTATAAGCTGCATTGTCCCAAAGATACTACAATAAAAATAAAATTGATATGAAAATGTAACTAGAAAAATGTAACTGGTCTGTTAGGTTCCAAATGCTGCTATCAAAGTTTATCAGAAATTGGTGCTTAAAAAAAACAAAAAGTTGTTGGGTGCTGGTGGCTCATGCCTGTAATCCTAGCTACTAAGGAGGCTGAGATCTGAGGATCACCGTTCAAAGCCAGCCTGAGCAGAAAACTTGGTGAGACTCTTATCTCCAATTAACCAGCAGAAAACCAGAAGTGGCCCTGTGGCTCAAGTGATAGAACACTAGCCTTGAGCTGAAGAGCTGAAGTATAGCACCAAGGCCCAGATTTCAAGCCCCACGACCAAAAACAAAAAACCAGAAAGATATCCTTCAAAATGTTCAAATGTTCAAAATGATGGTGTCAAAGGGCAACACCCTCTCTAAGGGAGAATCTGCCTTTTTGTAACTTTTAGTGGCTCTGAGCATTCTTTCACTTATGTTCACATTATTCTCATCTCTGCCTCTGTGGTACATTGCCTACTTCTCTGTCATATACCTGTGTCAAATCTCCCCTGTCTCTATCTAAAAATGACATTTGTGATGGTTGGGGCTCCCCTAAATTCTACAGGATAAACCCACCTTCCTAATTATCCTTAGTGCAATCACATCTTTTACCACAGAAGGCAAAGTTCCCAGAATATAGGGAATTTGATAGGGATGAAGGTCATTTTTCATATTATATTCAGTATGTTTTCACTGTCAACGAACGTATTCTTCATTTTATTGTTTAAGGAACTTTTTTTCTTTTTTCTCATTTTTTTTACATTAAGAATTCTTTCCGGAAGTGGCACTGTGGCTCAAGTGGTAGAGCACTAGCCTTGAGCTGAAGAGCTGAGGGACAGCTCCCAGGCTCAGAGTTCAAGCCCCACGACCAAAAAGAATTCTTTCCATATAAACCATTACAGGAAGAAATCAAAATAAGAAAAAAAGCAAATAGCATCTCTATAAATTCTGGAAATATATTTGAAGAAATTTTAATAAGTATTCCTAATTTAAATTAAAACATTATAATCATATAATAATGTGCTCAAAAGTATCACCCTACTTGCCAAACTACCCATCAGCCCTGAGTGCCAATATTTTCTGCATTTTTCTGGTTCTGTTCTTAAATTCCAGAATTATGAAAATCTGGTATCATACAGGTACCTTCCACTGAAAATTCAAGACTTAGTACAATCATATCACTCAGAGTAGCATAAATGCATAGCCTTTCAGACCCCCAAGTCTAGCCTATTTGTTTTACAGAGGAAGAAATTTATGTAGAATGTAAATTCTTAACTAAAGTCACATACAAACTTATGGAAGAACTGAGCAATGATGGTTTCCAGACTCTCTAGCTGATATTCAGTGATATTTTTACTTCTGTGCATGTAATGCTTTGTGTTGATGGGGCCCGCAAAAAGCCTCCAGTTCACGATGCATATGTACATTTGATTGTATATGTACTTAAACAACATAAACTTCCACATATGCATACAATGAAACATGGTCTGAAGTAATTACCATGTGAGTGTTATCATAATTCAGAGTGATAAAGCTATATTTTAGCTGTCTGTGGCCAACCTAGGAAGGCTGATACAAGGAATTATTTTTATAAGAGGTGGAAAGATGTTAAAAAAATTATTCAGGAAATAGCAACTAGGTTCCTTTGACTGGAGGGAATCGTTTTTGCAGCATAGACTAGAAATGCCTAGAAAAGTAGATTAAGATCAAGTCACAGTGAGTCCTGAAAATCATACTAACGACTTTGAATTCAAGTTGTGTATGCTTCACAATAGATTAAAAGTAAGGTGATTTCAAGAGTTCAGTCAAAAATGACAGGAAGGTATTAAGAAGACCCAGGTTGAGAAGGCAGTTGAGGACTTTCAAGTGCCAATGGTCAGCACAGACTGAATTTTCTTGCAGAATTAAGTATGTAACACAAAGGGTCAGGATTAGAGACCTAGGAATTGTTTATATTATTGTGATTGCCAAGGAAGAAAATATGAACTCACACGAAAGTGGAACTCTAAAGAAAGGCTGCATGTAGGATTAGTTTGCTCAACCTCCTAGCCTCTGCTTCCTTAATTACCCTGAGCCCCAATTATCCTTCTGCCCCCAACATGGAGTAGCTCCCTCTAGAGGCTTTGCTAGTATCTGCAGCAATACAACTGCCATGCCAGCTTTTCTCACCAACTGCCATCTTAGCTGGCAGAGATCTGTCTCAAGATCTTATTCTCTTCATTCAAACTGTGAATAACTGGGCTCATTTCTTTCCACAACACCCTGCATGTGCCTGCTTCCATTTCTTCATTCTGCCTGTTTTCCTATGTGATCTGCTGGCCTTTTTCTCCTCTGCTTATCCAATTCTTACCATCCTTTGCAGTTCTTCTTGGATTCTTTTAGCCTATCCTGAACACTGAGTGATACTTAGGCAAGTCACTTGAACTCCCCATGGATGAAACAATTAGTTCCCGTATGTTGCTGTTTTGCTTTTATCTTAGGAATGCTGGATGATAAATACAGCTATCATTTTGAAGTCATCTTCTTGAGGTAAGCTTGCAGTAGAAAATGATGATTTAACTAGAATGATGATGGCTCTCCTTCTCCAGGGGAAAAACAAAGTCCTTTTTTTTAGGAGGCAAACTTAGTGTCCTTTAACCTAGATCCAAGTGAGCAGTAGCAGCTCTTTAGATAATTGAGTGACTAATTAGCAGTGGAAATGTGCATAGTTCATAGAAAAGCTCAAACTTGGCTCTTACACAAGGAATAATGCATGCTTTTTGTGTTTTCTCTTTACTAGCTATTCTGCCATTGGTTTTATAGATAAAAACAAAGATACTTTATTTCAAGATTTCAAACGCCTCATGTATAACAGGTATGATTGATATTTTACTAATTTATATTAAGCTCTTTGACATTCATTGCTTAATATATATGCACATGATATTTTTATGTGACAAGAGTTTCTAGAAGACTTTAGTTCTACTTCATTATGTTTCATGAGTAAAATATTGTATGATTATAGGATTATTAAGTTATAAACTTTGGATAGGGATCTACTGCTAATATGATTATTTTTTATTTCCTTTGGCTTTCTGCCAACACTCTATTCCCTGCAGTGCCATCTGCCACCCCTTATTAGTGTACTCAGCAAGCAATCTCAAGGCCAGACCAGGAGTAATATAAGAAGTTTTAGGTAACCTTTGGCCCAGCCAAATGTGTGACATACCATATTCCCACGGTAATATCTCTTCCCAAGTATGGGACCACACTGATAGAGATTGGCATCTTATGTCAGCCAGTATGGTTCTAACTGGGCAGACAGAATTTTCTCACAAACCAACAAAATATGGAAAGACGGCAAAGAATGGAAATTTAAACCAGGAATCTGGTGTCACAGAGGTCCAGCCAAGGAAAAAAAACTATAAACTATATCAAGTCCTGTCAAAAGTAGGAATGAGGTGAGGACCAAGACTGACCATCATACCTCCCCATGCAGTTCCTGACAACACTGGTTTCCATGGACAAATGTCTGATTGACGTGGGCTCGAGAAAACACAGCAATGAAAATAGACATTGTCTTTAAGCAATTCTTTCCAAATATTAGTTCATCTATGTGAATATTGAGCCTACCATGAATGATTGGGAGCTGTCACCATGAGAAAGTTAAAAATACATGGAAGTGGTCAAGGGGTCCACTTAATAGTTGGGCACAGGGAAAATAAGCTTTAGGAAAGGAATTTCAATGCTTATCTTTCAGGAAGGATACACCTATTTTAAAGAATAAATAACTAAAGCTGGAATTTTTCTTTTTTTTGGGGGGGGGGGGGTCCAGTCGTGGGGCCTGAACTCTGGGCCTAGGCGCTGTCCCTCAGCTCTTCAGCTCAAAGCTAGCGCTCTACCACTTGAGCCATAGCTCCACTTCCGGCTTTTTTGCTTATTTGGTGCTGGGGAATCGAACCCAGGGCCTCAGGCATGCAAGGCAAGCACTCTACCACTGAGCCACCTTCCCAGCCCCTAAAGCTGGAATTTTTCTGTGTACAAAGTGTTGACATATTGGAACAAGAGCCTCCTTGGTCAGGTATCACAGGAAAGAAAGGGGTGGGGTGAGGTCTAAGGGAAAGAGGTAGACAAATGAAGAGGAGAAGAGAGGGAGAATGCAGTAAAGAATTCAATGTATATTCCTATAAAATTAAGACGAAGGGAAAGGATAGAGTAAGGGTAAGAGTAAGGGTAAGAGTAAGGATAAGGGAGAAATGGATGACAATGTTGAAAGGGGTAACACTGATCAAAGTCTATTGTATTTATAAACTGCTTTGTTGAATGGTAATTCCTTTGTGCAACTACTTAAGGATAATGAATGGTGGGGAGGGGGAGAAAAGGAATCTGACTAAACTGAGTGCACTTTACAGTAGGGGATAGTCTTGCCAAAAGGGTAAAAAGATTGAAAGTCTATTCATTGAAACTTACTGTCTATGATATTTAAAATGTCTAAAAACATTTTTGGTAATATTACAAGTTAGAATATACATGACTTCCTGGCCTGAAAGTCCTTTCTTAAAATGACTCTATATATCTGTTTAGATTCCATATACATCAATTCTGCTGTAATATATAGTCGTATTTCCTTTATTTCCAACTTTCCTCCTTTCTTCCATTACACTGTAATATGTCTAACAGTGAATAAGGTAGGAAAACAATATGAGTTAGAAACTTTATAGTCTCAGAGCCAGTGATCTTAAGTCTCTTGGCATGCATCAGAATTTTCAAAGAACAGTTTTCTTCCTTCTATTTGAAAAATATTCAGGAACCATGTGCACTGTAAGTGAAAAATCATTACCTTAAATTATCTCTCTGCTAAATAATGGAAAAGTTAAGGGAAAGCAACATACTTTTATGAGCTTATTTTTGTTGATATAAATGTATGACTGGAGAGCTATAAAATAGGACTATAAAGTGATCAAACATGAGCCACAGATCAGTAAACTATGTTATAGGTACTTTTTTGGGGTAGGGGTGGAAATGTCAGTCCTGGGGTTTAAACTCAGGGCCTGGGCACTGTCCCTGAGCTTTTTTGCTCAAGGCTGTCACTCTACCACTTGAGCCACAACTCCACTTCCAGCTTTTTGGTGCTTAATTAGAGATAAGAGTCTCAAACTTTCCTGCTGGGGCTGGTTTTGAACTGTGATCCTCAGATCTATACTTCCTGAGTATCCAGGATTACAGACATGAACCACCAATGTCCAGCTATAGGTACTTTTGATGCTAGTTGGCTACATGCATGGCAGTAATAAAGGGTCAGGATATATCTGCATTCATGGACGCAGTTGCTCATCACATCATCACGTCTTCACTTCATAACCAACCATTCGTTTTGCTGCTATTATTTTGAACAGTATGTACAGAAATTCACTAAGTGCTCTGGGGAACCAACTCAATTTTACACAAAAGAAAAAAATGGGCAAAATGCTGGCAGTACAGGGGTAGCAATGTTCGACAAGAAATGTACTCATTACCTTACTCATGTAACTGTAACCCCCATGTACAGCATCTTTACAGTAAAATAAAAATTTATATTAAAATGCTGGCAGTACCAGTGAAGCAAGTGATACATGCATCAACTTTTTTCTTTTTCAACCCTCAAATCAAGAAGAACAAATTCTCCTGTGAGAAAAAGTTTCCAAATTACATCAGTGAAACTCACTGGACACTATGTTGAAATTTAACTATGCAACTTATTGGATGGGAATGGGAGGGAAAAACTGGGAGAGAGCAAGGGAAGGGGTGACATTGCCAAAAAGAAATGGACTCTACCTGACTTATATAACTGTAACCCCTGTGTATGTCACCTTTATAATAACAATTTTAAAAATCTAAAAAAGTTTCCAAGAGAGAAATAATACTTTGAATGAATAACACGTTAAAATGAAAAGCACCCAAGATGAAACAGGAAGAAAATCACAATTTAAGATCATTATCATGTCTTTTTAAAAGTATCTCCACAGTCGGGTGCCGGTGGCTCACGCCTGTAATCCTGGCTGCTCAGGAGGCTGAGATCTGAGGATCATGGTTCAAAGCCAGCCTGGGCAGTAAAGTCCATGAGACTCTTATCTCCAATAAACCACTGGAAAACTGGAAGTGGCGCCTGTGGCTCAAGCAGTAGAGCATTCACCTTGAGCTGAAGAGTGCAAGGACAGCACCCAAGCCCAGAGTTCAAGTCCCATGACTGACAAAAATGTATCTCCACAGAGTCAAATATGAATCTATGATTATTAATATGGAAATTTTCCTGAAGTACTATTTTTAAATTGGGTTGCAACAGTCCCAGTAGCATATCAATAAAATGCTAAAGTCCACTCAGTACTACCTGTAAAAATGTTCACTAATTTAGCTTCAGTAAAGGGATTTGCCAGAAAACAGTGTCAAAATGGTTGTTTTATGTCCTTATCTATATGTTTTAGGAAGAACTGCTTTTTATAGTTACCTATTCTCTACTAATATTTCTTTCAACTAGATGTTTTTACTTTCATATTTTCTGCTGTGACATTGAGAATTGTTTTGTTGTTGTTTTAAGGCCAAGCATTTTATTTATTATAAGTACTTTCTCAATGTTGTTGTATAAAATTTACAAGAAATATTGCAATGGCTGTAGTACCCCATTAAATGAGTGTGTCAAAATTTCCTTTTCTTCTAATTATTAAGGCATTTAGGTAGCTTCTAATCTTATGCTAGTCTAAGCAGTCTTTTATTATTTTATTATCTTTAAGTAATTGTAAGTAGTTTTCATTTAACAGAGCAGTTTATAAATACAGTAGATCTTGATCCATATGCCCCTTTCAACATTCTCAACCATTTCTCCCTACTCCTTCCCTCCCTTTTCTTATTTTTTTTTTTTTTTTTTTTGGAGGGAGGGCGGTCGGATGCAGGCTTAAACTCTGAGTCTGGGAGCTGTCCTTCAGCTCTTCAGCTCAAGGCTAGCACTCTACCACTTGAGCCACAGCACCACTTCCGGTTTTCAGGAGACTAATTGGAGATAAGAGTCTCTTGGACTCTCCTGCCTGGGCTGGCTTTGAAGCAGGATCCTCAGATTTCAGCCTCCTGAATAGCTAAGATTACAGGCGTGAGCTACCAGTGCCCAGCACTTTTCTCAATTTTGTAGGATATTTATTGGACTCTTGACTACATTCTCCTCTTTTCCTCTTCATTTTCCACCCTTTTCTCCTTGACCCCACTCCACCCCTTTTGAGTACCATCTTCCTAGTGTTTTATTTTGCTGACCTTTGACCTTTCCTTTCCAAGGAATTACACTATTTGAGTTCTCCCCTGAATCTGTGAGAATTGTTATCCTGCTAGTAGTTTGTTTGTTTGCTAGTAGTAGTTTGTTTTCATTTTTTAGCCATCACAAAAGTCAGTTTGTTTTATGAATATATTGTAAAAGCCATCTCAATTGAGGGTTCTAGATAATACTAGAAATCGCTTTAAAGAAATTTAAACATTTTTGAAATGTGCTATAGTTGTTTTGAAATTTTTATGGTTTAGTATTGTTCATTGTATTTACATAATTCTCTGGATAGGATTATTTTTCCAGTTAGGCCTTGTGAGTTCAGCCTGCAGTTCAAGTTCAGACTTGAAGGATTGCTTAGCTGTTTTATTCTCCTAATCTGAATGATTAAATTGCTCTTTCTGTGCTTTACAGTTCAAATCCTGTGCTGAAGAATATGTGGCCTGAAGGCAAACTGAGCATTACAGAGGTGACCAAGCGACCTCTGACTGCTGCCACCTTGTTTAAGAATTCTATGATTGCTTTAGTAGACAACCTTGCATCAAAGGTAATTCATTTCTAAGTATCCATTTCAACTTCTAGACTTCCTTTTGATATATGTTGTAGAGAATATGTGAAAATTTGCTTTATAAGTATTTCTCTTTAACCAAATTAAACAACATACATTTATAGTGAACATTACAGAACTTTTATTCCTAATTTTTTACTTGCCTGGATGAAATGAATTGTTTTTGTTCATTTGTTTTATTTTTACTTTCGGCAGTATGAGCATTTTGACCCAGGGCCTCATGTTTGTTAGTTAGGTGTTATGCCCTATCATGGCCCCAGCTGAAATAATTGTTTTTATCCCTGAAGAATACTTTTCTTAAATCTGAGCTTTTATTTGTGTTGTAGACAAAGGGAAAATCTAAGTGTGGTGTACTGCTCCCCACACACACCTTTTTTCTCTTTTTTTTTGGTGGTACTGGGGATTGAACTCAGGGCTCATGCTAGGTCAATAGTCTACCACTTGGGCCATACCTCCACCTTTAGTGTGGTTTAAAATAAAGGTAAAATATACCACTCCTGGCAAAATAAATTCCAGCTTTGTGCTAAAGACGAGACACAGAAAAAATAATAATTACACCATAGTAATGCACCATTCGTTCATTGCATTTGAATATTGAATGACCAAAAATAATTGTAATGCAAAGTTTTTAAGTAAGTATTGTCCTAAACAGTAGACTTTCATTTATTTATTTATTTATTTTGTCAGTCATGGGGCTTGAACTCAGGGCTTGGGCACTATCCCTCAGCTCTTCAGCTCAAGGCAAGCGCTCTACTGCTTGAGCCACAGTGCCACTTCCAGTTTTCTAGTGCTTTATCAGAGATGAGAGTCTCACCAACTTTCCTGCCCGGGCTGGCTTTGAACCGTGATCCTCAGATCTCAGCCTCCTGAGTAGCTAACAGTAGACTATTTAGATGTATTAGTGTCAGTTATCTCTGCCTTTCTGATTCTAATGTGATTTGATAACTAGAGTCTGATTTTGTTTTTGTTTGGTTTTCCGTAAAGACCAGATTTCTACTCCTAACTAAGTTTGATAAATTAGGCAGTTTTCTGGGACTCATTATTTTTATCTTTATCTTCTGGTGATTTTTCTTTATTATTTTGTCTATTTAAAAAAATCTGTTTCCTCTCTAAGAATTTAAACTTAAGTCTATGTTGTGTCTAAGCTATTGCACTATGACTAAATTAGGCAAATGTCACAGAGCACATCTGCTCAGTAGCTTTCTATTTCTTTACATCAGGCTTCTTTGGCCTCAAATGACTGCAAATAAACACAGTTTTCTGGCTTGTATAATTAAATTTCCATAAAGACAGGGGTAAGGACACTGGCACTGAACTTTAGACTGCCATTAAGACTCCTTACTCTTCTATCTCCATTTCTCTCTGCATATCATCTTCCAAGTATCTAGCAAAGAATCATTGTCTTATTTTCTAAAGCTGTTAAATATTCCTTCAGATCTCATTGAATATAAATTTCTGTATCAGGAATTGCATTCAGCTTCTAGTAAAAGAAATCCTCAAATTAGAAAAGACCTTTATTTCTCTTTCTGGTGAGTACAAAAAAAAATGTGTTCCATGACTGCAGTAGCAGCTTGTTGGTTACTTGGGACCTAGACTCCTTCCCTCTTTCTGTTTTACTGTTATAGTGGTTGGCATCTATCCTCCTGTCCAAGATGGCAGTTGCAGTTTCCTCCCATTTAAAAACCACAGGAAATCTCACATCGTGTCTCAGCTACATCCTCTGCTACACATAGTTGTCAGGGAAGCGGGGAAGCACATGTTTATTTCAATCAGCAGTGCACCATGCTAGAAATAAAAGTTTTGTTTTAAAGACAGAAGATATGAGATATAAGGTAGGCAACTAGGATAGTAGCATTCTTGTAGGGAAGGAGGAAGTGAGTAGAAACTAGCCAAAGAATATAGATAAGTTATTAGTCCAATAGAAAACAGAAAGGTGAGATGAGAAATGAGAAAGAAAGAACTCCCTTGCCTCGGTGTGTGTGTGTGGGCGCACGCACGCCAATCCCAGGGCTTGATCTCAGGGCATGTCCCTGAGCCTGTTGTTGTTGTTGTTGTTGTTGTTGTGAGGCTTGAACTCTGGACCTCAGTGCTGTCCCTAAGCTTTTCAGCTCAAAGCTAGCACTCTACCATTTGAGCCACAGTGCCACTTCTGGTTTTCTGGTGGTTTATTTGGAAATAATCTCATGGACATTCCTGCCGGGGCTGGCTTTGAACCGTGATCCTCAATCTCAGCCTCCTGAGTAGCTAGGATTACAGATGAGCCACTGGCACCTGGCTCCCTGAGCATTTTGTGCTAATCACTTGAACCACAGCTCTACTTCAGGATTTTGGTTATTTATTTGAGAGAAGACTTTCATGGACTTTTCTGCCTGAGCTACCTTTGAACTGCAATCCTCAGGTCTTAGTGTCTTGAGTAGCTAGGATGCTCTCTGCCCCACATTTTGTTTAGCATCTTTTCTTCAATTTTTTCATCAACAAAGTTAAGAATTATCTAGTCCTCCATTACCAGAAGTGAAAATCCCAATCCCTTACTTTCTCAGAGTCTATTCACATAGAGCTTTAGCATTGTCTAGTTTCCTCAGCTATATAATTTTTTGAATATGCAGACAAGGTTCTATTAACTTTTCATATCTCTTGGATAGTAGCATAAATTCTGTAAACACACATTATCACATGAATTTGAATTTGCCTTGGCTCTGTCTGACAGTGTACAAAGCAGGTTAAATAAATGTATCGGTAAATACATTGTTTCTGTTTAATGTATGTACCAATTAGTGTATTTTCACAAATGATGTTTTTCATATGAAATACAGAGAGAGGTTAAAAACTTCAAGAGAATAAGATAAGCATTAACTTTTGCAATTTAACCTTTATAATAAACACCAAATTTCTCAAATTTATGATTTTTTTAGGCTGAGTCAGTCTTGCTATAAATGAGAGAGGAGGAGGCATTTATAAATTGAGATGGAATTCTGATTAAATATAGAGAAAATATTTCCACTAGATTCTTTATCCAAAGACTTACATATACCTAAGCAAAATGAAAGGGCTTCTCCAGCTTCTTGGTTGGTCATTAGTGTCTATGTGGTCTTAACACTGCATATTCGCTTAGTGCTGGTTAAGTTCCACTCATATGACTTCTAGCATGCTTTGCCCACGCAATTTTATAGATAATTCACTTTTAAAATATTTTCTTTTTGTTGGGGGGGGGTGGTCCAGTTGTGGGGCCTGAACTCTGGGCCTGGGCGCTGTCCCTCAGCTCTTCAGCTCAAGGCTAGTGCTCTACCACTTGAGCCACAGCACCACTTCCAGGTTTTTTCTTTTTGCTTATGTGGTGCTTAGGAATCAAACCCAGGGCCTCATGCATGCAAGGCAAGCGCTCTACCACTGAGCCACCTTCCCAGGCCCTTTTAAAATATTTTCTAATAGTTCTCATAATTTTTTAACCTAATAATACTCAGAAATGTATTTCTTAAATTTCAAGCATTGAGTTTTTTAGTTATCTATTTGCTCTTGATTTCTAGCTTCTCTTATTTCACCAGAAGATATCCTTTGGGTGATTCCAATCCTTAGAAATTTGTTGAGTTTCTTTACGTAAATGTTTTGTTTGAAAATGAAAATAACTTTCATTTGTATTCTATACAAGGCCCATTAGGCCAAGTTTCCATCATCTTGTTCTATTTCCTTACCAATTTCTTTGTTTTGTCAATGTTGAAAGCTACATTAAAATACTCCTTGATTCTAAATTTGTCTCCTTCCTGTTGTACCTCACTCTTTGCTTTAGATATCTGAAGAATTCATTGGGTTCCTCAAGTTAAGATTGTTCCATCTTTCTGATGATTGCGTCACTTGTCAGTATGAAACATACCTATTTCCATCTTGCCTTTTTTCCTTTAAGTCTGCTCTGCATGGTACAATGACACCAGTTGTATATGCATGGTATCTTTTTCTTCCTTTTACTTTCAGTCTCTGTGTAGTCTTATATCCCAAATATGTCTCTCACAAATAGCATAGTTTAGAGGTTGGTTTCTGTTTTGTTTTGTTTGTCAGTCGTGGGGCTTGAACTCTGGGCTTGGTTGCTGTTCCTCAGCTGTTCAGCTCAAGGCAAGCACTCTACCGCCTCGAGCCACAGCACCACTTCCAGTTTTCTAGTAGTTTATTGGAGATAAAAGTCTCACAGCCTTTCCTGCCTGGGCTGGCTTTGAACCATGATCCTCAGATCTCAGCCTCCTGAGATCTCAGCCCCATGACTGATGAGAGAAAGGGGGAGGGGGGAGAGGGGGAGGGGGGAGAGAGAGAGAGAGAGAGAGAGAGAGAGAGAGATCTTGGCCCCTATGGGCCATGAGGTTTGTTTTTTTTTTGTTGGTTGTGGGGCTTGAACTTGGGCCTAGGCACTGTCCTTGAGCTCTTCACTTGAGCCACTTCTGGTTTTCTGGTGGTTAATAGGAGATTAAGAGTCTAAGGGACTTTTCTGCCCAGTCTGACTTTGAACCATGATCCCCAGATCTCAGCCTCCTGAGTAGCTAGGATTACAGTGAGCCCCAGTGCCCAGCCCAGTCTGGTTCCTTTTTTTATAATTTCTGGTTCTATGTAAAATTCTCAATATTGTTACTGTCATCTTAAACACGGTAAACATTGTTATTTTCATCTATCTGATAGCACCAATATCTGGACCCTTTTGTGTTGGTTTCTTACATGTTTGAGCTTTGTTTTTTGTTGTCATTCTAATTTTTATATTTCCAAAGCTTCTTACAGAAATAATTAAAGGGAAGTGGCATTGTGGCTCAGAGTGGAAGAATGTTAGCCTTGAGTAAAAGAACTCAGGGACAGTACCCAGGCCCTGAGTTCAAGCCCCACAACCAACAAAAAATAATAATAATTATTTTTTTATTTTATTATTATTATTTTGTTTTGTTTTGTTTTTTTGGGTCCAGTCGTGGGGCCTGAACTCTGGGCCTTGGCACTCTCCCTCAGCTCTT